CCCGTAGGCTCGACCAAAAAATGCACGTAGAAACTGTAAAAACAGAATCGTGTTGGTCAATCTCCCCGAACGAAACTCTGCCCTTCGGCGGAGCCTCGTCGGGGTTCCTCTCTGCTCAGGGGCAGAGAGTTCGACCGTCAAGCCGAGAAGCTCGGCTCGATTCGGTATCTACCCCCCCACACACACACGAGGGTTGCATGTGGCACATAGCCGAGTTTAACGGCGGTTTTCCGAGTCCGTAGGCTCGGCCAAAGAATGCCCGTAGAACCCGTATAAACGGTATCGGGTTGGTCGACCTCCCCGAACGAGACTCTTCCCTTCGGTGGAGCCTCGTTCGGGTTCCTCTCTGCTCAGAGGTAGAGAGTTCGACCGTCAAGCCGAGAAGCCCGGCTTGAATCGGTATCTAGCCACCCGCCTACGAGGTTTACATGTGGCACAAGGACGAGTTTAACGTGGGTTTCCCGGGACCGTAGGCTCGGCCAAAAAATGTCCGTACAACCCGTATAAACGGGATCGGGTTGGTCAATCTCCCCGAACGAGACTCTGCTTTTCGGCGGAGCCTCGTCCGGGTTCCTTTCTGCTCAGAGGCAGAGAGTTCGACCGTCAAGTAAAGAAGCTCGGATCGATTCGGTATCTAGCCACCACCACCCCACGAGGGTTGCATATGGCACAAGGCCGAGTTTAACGTGGGTTTCCCGAGCTAGTAGGCTCGGCCAAAAAATGCCTGTAGAACCCTTATAAACGGGATCGGGTTGGTTGACCTCCCCGAACGGAGCCTCGTCCGGGTTCCTCTCTGCTCAGAGACAGAGAGTTCGACCGTTAAGAAGCTCGTCTTGAATCGACCCTCTCTCTTTAGAGGCGTAGTATACATAGTGTTAGTAAGAGTTCATCCTGTAGTTATAGGTAAGGACCCATGGCATGTACCATGGCTGAATGTTTAATTGGCAACTTCTCCTGATTTTACTAACATTTGTTCCTCAACATGATAACCACTTACCTTGAAAGAATCAATGCAATTATTATTAAGAAGAATTGAAATTGGTGTATGCAAGATGACACTGTCTAGGATCACTCTTTCTTAGTCATCCTATGATTTTTTGCACCCTCCCGCGTAACTGGAAAGAAACAATTCAGTTATTAATAAGAAGAGTTGAAATTAATACTTGCCAGATTTCACAGCTTCAGTATTCCTCCTTCATAGTCAGTTGAGGACTATGTTGATGACTTTTCCGACCAACAGGATCAAACGTCTTTTTTCAACAATCAGATAACAGTTTACCTTGAAAGAATTAATGCAATTATTAATCAGAAGAGTTGAAATTAATGCTTGCAAGATTTCATAGTTCTAGCATCACTCCTTTTTAGTCAGACTATAACAATTTCATCCCACCATTGTGCCTGGAAAGAAACAAGTCAATTATTAACAGGAAGCTTTGAAATTAATGCTTGCAAGATTTCACAGTTCTAGCATCACTCCTTTTTAGTCAGCCGATAAACTTTTCAACCTATCCTCGTATATACCCTATTATCCGATGTATCATTTGTTATTCTAATTAAAACACGTCCCAGTACTGTCACTGATTGTCTCTGTCTGCCTCCCAAACAATTAAACAGTTTAACTATTCGTTGTTTGCTCTGGGTTTTTTTAAATACCGTTCACACAAAACAAAGCCTAAGGGGAGCTCAAGTACAGGGTCATCGAATGAAGTGTGTGGATGGGGGCGAAAGATGTGGAAGTAGGGCGTGAGCATTACGTTCATACTTTGGGTAACTTGTGTGGAAATTAAATAAAATCAATAATAATAATAATAATAATAGTGAATAATAAAATAAAGAAAAAGAAATAGAGGTTCCCATGAGGTTAATAGTAAAGGAACCGGAAATATCATTACCCCACTAGGCTTCGTAAAACGTTAATTGGTGGCGCTGTTAAAGTCTATAAAAAGACAAATGTTTTTCTACCACATTCTCTTTTCTCCTCCATGATAAAGTATCACGTGGTAATTACATTCCTGCTGATTAACCTTAGTGTCCCCCACCTCTACTGATCTTTCTTCGCTCTTTCCATATTGGAAATTAAATGGAGGAGATTACATATTACTTTGGAGTACAGCGCGTTTTAATTTGTTTTGACCGAAATGTTTCTTGCTTCCTAATACTTTACTTAGTTTCCAGAAGACATTTTCGTTGTGCTTATTTGGATTCTTGCACCATATTTCACATAATCAATTATTCCACTTGGCAGATAGTTAAATTTCAGAACCGGCTTCATTTTGATGTGCAGGTGGTGTAATGGAGAGCGTTAGTAATGAGAACTCGGAGAGCCGAGTTCAAATTCTAGTCAAGTTTGTTACATTGTATTATCAAGTATGAATCCATTTCTCTGTACCCAGCTATGGGTTAACTAGTAAAACAAACTGGGTTCTTCAGCTTTGGTTGGTAACCAACGTAGAAAAAAGAGAATTCCGAATTCGAAAACCTTCTGTAGCTCTTGTATCATGTACTATCTGCAGTTAAGGAAAGAAACATGGAGTCCATAATGACGCTATGATTCTGACTACGGTCGACCTTTCATTTTGATGTGCCCAAATATGCAGTTTATGCATTGGATTCTCTCTTTTGTTGGCAATTCTCTCACAAGATTTCTTGAATTTATTATTGTCTCATCTAAATTATATGGGTGCTACACGTCAAAGTGCTTACCATAAACAAACGGCTGAGAATGATTTTTCAAAATATGATTTAGATATTGTTGGAAAATCTCTCACAGGATTTCTTGAATTTATTGTTGTCTCATCTAAATTATATGGGTGCTACACTTCAAAGTGCCTACCATAAAAAAGCGGCTGAGAATGATTTTTCAAAATATGATTTAGATATTGTTGGAAAATCTCTCACAGGATTTCTTGAATTTATTGTTGTCTCATCTAAATTATATGGGTGCTACACGTCAAATGCTTACCATAAACAAGCAACTGGGAATGATTTTTCAAAATATGCTTTAGATATTGTTGGCAAATCTCTCACTGGATTTCCTGAAAGTTATTTTTATTTTATTTTATTTTTGCTGTCATCTAAAATATATGGGTGCTACACGTCAAAGTGCCTACCATAAACAAGCTGGTGAAAAATGATTTTTCAAAATATGATTCAGATATTGTTGGCAAATCTCTTCAGGATTTCTTGAAATTTATTTTTTTCTTGTCCTCATCTAAATTATATGGGTGCTACATGCCAAAGGGAACACCATAAACAAGTTGGTGAGAATGATTATTCGAAACGATTTAGATATTTTTGGCACATCTCTTACAGGATTTTTTGATTTTTTATTCTTTTTTGTTCTCATTAATTTTTCAAAACATGATTTAGATATGTGGAGTATGTTCGATGCTTCTCACGTCGCATAACGCTGATTATTGTCAAGAAATATATTTATTTGAATGTTACCAACTTCATCTGGTCGAATCGACCTTGAAGCATCTTCCAGCAATGTTTCACCAGCACGAAAACAGCAAAGCAAACATAAAATAAAATTCTTATTTTCTTTCATCTTTTAATATCAGAATAAATACACCAGTTGTGAATATTTTTTAAATGCTCCTATGACAGATGTCACGAGGAAATCAAGAGTGATCTTTGTAAATGAAGTTAGTCACAACAATAAATGCCTTCAGGCATTTCACGACAAAAACAGAACAAAATTTTAATAAAAGCAATGCGTAAAACATGACATTCGATAACTAACACTTGTATTAATTCTATTTTTCTTTATTTTCAATGCATTTCTGCGGTAAGTCAGTGAGAATTCATTTACGTCATACGGATAAAAACCTTATTCTGTCAATCATGTTTAAGTTAATACCTGGGTATTAAAAATATCGTTTATTTTGAGATGAAATGCATTCCTGTAGTAAAATTATTAGCATTTACATGATACACACAAGTCGGGAAGAACCTGAATCGCGTGAAAGGGAGTAGCCTTGATTTTCGTTTTTAGGTCAGCCTATGTCATATCGGAATGGCTTCCTGTGGAACCCGACCCTAGTTGAGATAGACCCATATTTTGTGTACCTAGTTAATGTGAGTAAGTGTCATTCACGGCCTGTTCCCGGCTTCTAATTTGGTTATAATCCAAATCGAGATTCCCAACCTCCACAGTTTATTTTTGTTCCATTTTCATCTATAATGGGTCAGCTATTTCCTTTCCTCATGGCCATATTTATTTTATTCTTTCTCTCTCTTTCTTAGTAAGATAGTCTCTTGATTTTGTCTAAAGACAGAAGGCAGAGGTCACTCTGAATTCTTTTCAGAGTTTGATGGGTCCAACTAACATTAGTTATCCTTTTATGTTGTGTATTTATTTTGATATTTTAGTTTGTTTTTGGGTTCATTCCTTCCTCCTACTTACGTATTATCGACGGGTTTTTGTACATAGAATTTTATAATTGTTACTTTTTATGTCAGGGAGTGTTTTTATTGGTCCCATTAGAGTAAGCGATATTTTGGTACATGAGGATTAAATGATCATGGATGAGTTCTTTTGGTGGATATGCAAATTGTAATGAGTGAATGGATCGTGAATCTGATTAGCTAGGTATAAGATAGTAAGTGATGACAAGTCTCAATCCATCCACCCCCATTTTCGGCCTTGTACCAGAATTGTATTTTATATACAATAAATCTATACAAGTGTTGGCTGGAAATTCCATAGGCTCATGTACGCTAAAAGACATGCAAGTGTACCAGAATACAACAGTCCTATGCAATCAATAATCTACCCCAGCGAGCGAAATAAAGGGTTCAGTTCGAAATTCCAACCACCTGAAGAAGGCCGGAGCGTACAACGGCCGAAACGTTGTGATAAATATGGCGACAAAGACGAGGACAATAGTCCGAATAATGTAAATAATGTACATAATACCTCATCTCAGAAATATAGACAGGCAATCAATAATGTTTGAATTTATACCTGTTGGTTAACAAGCTTATGACAACATCATGTTAAAACATTGGCTCCCGTATGATCACTGAAGTTAAGCAACGTCGAGCCTAGGCAGTACCGAGATAGGTTACAGCTGGGGAATACCAGGTGCTTTAAGCGTTTTACGCGTGAGACGTGTAGTGGATAATGACTCGGAGTTGTTAAAGGGGAAACGAGTTCCAATTCCCGTTGGGTTCATTAAATTCACATAAGCACAAATAACCTCGGGAAAGGTGCGAAGCTACCTTTTCTCTCCCTAGCCATGTGTCAGACTTGTATCACTAAGCCATTATTATCTCTTTAAAAAATCTAAAAATAATTTCTGGCTATAAATAACCTGCAGAGGGTTGGTAAACCGTAAAAAAAACAAATCAGTCAATCATGAGAATTAACAATACCTATCTTTGTGATTACTTCAATGAAACCATTATCAATGCTTTTACATTATATATAGCATAACCCTGTTTTCTTTTCAGTAATTTTGACCATGGGCTATCCCTTTCTTCCTTATTTTCAGTGTCAAAAGATTACTTATACCTGTACATTATATATATATATATATATATATATATATATATATATATATATATATATAATATATAAATATACTTCTTTTGAGTAAATCAAAACTTCATATGGTTGCTTTAATTTCGGGAGAAAATTAAGACAAAAATTGTCCAAAATTTGATATTTATATTAAGCTGGTCCTTGATCTAAATTTTCGGTTCACATGAGCCAACTTCTGAATGGTTATATGGACATTTCAACAAAGATATTCATTATCAAAGATGATATTTTGTTATTTTGACATAGAAGATTGCTATGTGACGATAATGGTCGCGGAATAGAAATTTCAAACTAACCACAACACATTACATTGCACCTGCACGACGCGAATGGAGGAAGTCTTGCGATACAATAAATATCCATTACATTGCACCTAGACATATAGTTCTGTTGTTAATATTTCGTCATAGAACCGCATCATGAATTTGTGACTTGTGTCTGCTATTCCGTGACTGTTATGTGAGTATGGCTCATGTGAGCCGAAATCTTAGATGCAAGGACAGCTTTATAAATAATGTCCAAATGTTGGACAATTTTTGTCTTTATTTTCACCCGAAATTAAAGCAGCCATATAAAGTTTAGAACGGCTCATGATGAAACAAAATAGACATTCATTATTTGTCATATTTAACAATATATGCTTAAACATATATATATATATATATATATGAAGAAAAATATACGGAAAAAAACAAACAAAAATCCTTATATACAATTATGCTGTTTTAATGTTATTATGTCAACGTCGGACGTTTCGGCCTAATAAAACATCTTCAGGACATATTCATAAATTATAACATTATCAATTCAACATGACAAAGACGATGTACATAAGAACAAGACTTATCCAAACAGATAACTGAAAGTTTTATAAGATCAGCGCTCCATTTAAAACAGGGTCACGTTGTCATCACGTGGGCGACGCTGTGAAAACGTATTCCTAAAATTTTATGTCCATCGTCTTTTTCATGTTGAATTGTATATGGTCTATGTTAATTCTGTTTTATGAATATGTCCTACAGGGTATCCTAAAAGAATATACTCACAGTTTAACAATAAATGCAGTGTTTATTGACTTGAAAGCAAGATTACTGGTTAAAATCAAGAAATATTAATGTTTATTTACTTGCAATGAAGAATAACAGTTTAAATAAAATGTTAAATGAAATTAACTACATGGACCTGAAAAAAAGAAAAAAAAGCAATTCATCCCAAGCAAGGCGGGAGTGCCACTAGCATGCAAGGTGCTACAGAGGATTGAGAACAAGAGTAAAGAGGCGTGTTTTGGGAAAGGATACAGAGAAGGACGGCGAACAAGCTCAGGGTGACATTGACATTACACTTGAATATTTGTAGATTATAGTCATCGGGGAAGCAAGTAAGGGGAAGGGAATCCCACAGACGGGAAGGGCGAGAGAAGAAGCTGTTTGAGTAGAAGAGACGGTTACATTTAACCGTTTTGACAGTGAAAGGGTGGAACTCAGATGACAGCCTGGTAGCTCGCTTAAATTTATATAGTCCGGGAACCAGCGAATGTACCTCGTCGGAACAGTTGACGTGAAAATACTTGTAGAACAGACAGAGGGAGGTCATGGCACGTCTTTGGGATAGCGATTGTAGATTAGATGCCTGATCAGGACCTATCATATTCGTCTCTGCATTTTGTCGATGACCTCGAGACGTACAGCGGGTGCACCAGACCATATATGACAGCAATATTCCATGCAAGGACAGATGGTTGATTTATAGATTTGAAGGATGGACCCAGGCGAGAAAACCTTTCTGGCACGACACAGAGAACGAATTTTCTTTGCGGTAGATGAAGCCATTGATTCAATGTATTTGTTCCGCCTCATGTCAGTGAACAGCGGGAGACCAAACAGCCGTAACGAGGCGCTCTCAAGGAGTTAGGAATCAGTCATTCTGATGGAATGTAGGGAGGGTTCTCTGTGGTGGGTAAAGAAAAGCAGTTTCATTTTGGAGGCATTTTACAAGCCATTTCCTGCAACAGTCAACCACAAATTGGAGGTCCTTTTCAAGATCAGCAGCCAGGTTAATTTTGTCAACAATACCAGATTTACTATTGAGGGAGGAGTAAATAGTAGTGTCGTCCGTGTAGATGCCAATTTAGGAACTGCTGACATCGGGAAGGTCATTGATGAAGATCAGAAACAGTGTAGGGCCCAAGATAGAGCCTTTGGGATCAGCAGCGTTCGTGATAAAGGAGCCGGAGAAGAACCCGTTTAGGACGACCTTCATTTCACGATTTGACAGGAATTATTGTATTAAATCAAACAACCGTCCTATAATACGGTATCCCTGAAGCTTAAGAAGAAGGCCACCATGTCAAGCCATATCAAACGCTTTAGAGATGTCTAGAGCCACGGTTCGTACTTCTTCATTGTTGTTGAGTGCTTGCTATACAAATTTAGAAAGATTTAAGAAAAAAAAAAACTTCTTGGGGGAGACACCCTATATTTGTTACTCCTCTTTATTGTTAAGAATCGCGATAGACAAACACAATGAAGGCGCATTATTAATCTCCAAGTAAATGCGGGGTAGTTTTCGAGTGTGATGAATTCTTAAAAGTTTTGTTTTATTCTCCAATGCTTTGTAGACGCAGGTTGTTTCGACTTTTGGTGTGTACACAAAAGGAGCATTTTATACGGTCATTAGGGATGAATGAAGATCAAAATTTGCCTGTCTCCCTGCAAGAACAACAAGCGAGTGACCTTTATGCAAATTCAAAAGTGACTGCTACACACGGAAAGTCGAATCAACTTGACTTTTAAGAATTCTTCACAGTTAAAAACTATACTTTGATTTTCTTGGCGATTATTAATGCGTCTTGATTGTGCTATCGAATACCTTTTGAAAGAGCGTTGCTCGAAAGAATCCTAAAGGTATAAAAAAATAACGTTTATTTTATTCAAATCCATATATATATATATATATATATATATATATATATACATATATATATATATATATATACATTATATTTTGTTCAAATTTATATATATATATATATATATATATATATATATATATATATATATATATATATATGACGTTTTTGTTCAAATTTGTATCTATCTATCTATCTATCTATCTATCTATCTATCTATCTATATATATATATATATATATAAATGACGCTTATTTTTGTTCAAATTTATATATATATATATATATATATATATATATAAATATATATATATATATGTCATTATGTCATTCTCAGACAGTACTATTTCGCTGTATTTCACCTCCTCAGTGCGACTAGACGTCCGAAAACTTCAACCTTGTTTGGAAATCCGATATATATATGTGTGTGTGTAAATTTGAACAAAATAGACGTCGTATATATATATATATATATATATATATATATATATATATATATATATATGTGTGTGTGTGTGTGTGTGTGTGTGTATGTATGTATGTATGTATGTATAACTCCGATCACTTGACCACAATAGCACCAACTCTCTAAGAAAGCCTAATCTGAATGCAGTGAGACAAAACTGATGAAATGTTATGGCGAAAGTGTAGATAATTTTTGACTTACCCTCTCTATATGTTTCAGTATATTGTAGTTTTTTTTTATCCTTTATGGCCATCCATAGCAACGAGGCCTAGGATATTTTGAAGAAAAAAGTCACCAATTGGATAAAAAAAAAACATTAAAATAGGAACTACGACCAAATAATGAAAGAATTGAAGAAAAAACAAAAAGAAATATAAAAAATATTTAGTTAAAAATAAAGTAAGAAAAAACATGAAGGAGAAAGTCAAAAGACAAAATTTTAACGCTGGGAAATAAAACTTCATTTGTTTCCATGGTAATAATTCCTTTACGTCATTATAGGAAAAATAAAATGGCATCAATTGTCACGAAAAACAAAATTACCCTTCGTTTTATCACTGCAGAAAACGTACTACTTAATACTTCAAGTACCACTTAAGTGTGTGAAAGCATATATAATAGTAATGGATAGCGTTTTAAATTGAAGAATCGGAGAGCCGATTTCGAATTCCAGTCGGATCGATTACATTCACTTACGTGCTTATACCCGTCGGCAAACATATTAATCCTCTTCTCTCTCCATCTATGGGTAAAATAGCAGGACAGAGTGGGTTTTATAGCCTTGTATTTTTAAACTTTCACAGTGTTTTGACCCCAGTTTACAGGGGTTAACTATTTGCTCATAGTTGGGACTCTAACTGGTGCTACCACCTCAGGTCAGGGTGAACCTGGGAACACCAGCAATTAAGAAGTGGTTCCATGCTTCTCAAAACCTCCTGATCAGAGGCCTTGCTGCTGGATGTAGTTTATCGTCTTACCCTTCACGGTGAACGTTATTTTTTACCTTCAACTTTTTATTTCTCTCTATATTCACGCAGTACAAGGCCCAAGAGCAACTCAAGTTTGAGGGTTGCTCTATTATGTTGTATTTGTGTAAGAAAGGGGGAAAAGTGAAGTTTCTAGACTATACAGGAAAAACAGAGGTCAACTTTAAACTTGAAGTTGGCAAGATTT